CTAATGCTCAGTGGGCCTCCATGGCTGGCTCCCAACACTCATTTGAACTCATCCAAACTCTCTCTAAATTTAAGAAAACTCCTGGATATTATCAATTAGTACTTTTTCTTCAGGCTCATCCTCTTCATTACAAACTTCAGTGTTTCAGAAGATTTGACCTTAATCTGAAGTTCCCTTCCACACAATAACTTCTGATACACCAAGTTGTCTTAGTTTATCCTTTGTATTCCTTTCATTTCCTGGACTGAGCTTCTAGCTTCCATTCCATGAAGAAATTAGATCCCTTCCTCTTTGGGACCCAAATAAGCCCTTCCTGCTCAAAGGAAGGTCCATTTTCTTCATGTGATTATACCCCTGGATGAATACTCAGCTGAAAAGATCACCTTCTTCATCTTTGGAATTATTCCTCTTGGACATTTTCTTTAGTCTTTGTCATCTATCTTTGGATGGATGTTTTAGTTCATCAGCACCACTTTAGTCAATTTCTCAACTCAACTCAGAGAACTTGTACCTCTCGGTGTCATTCAGGGATTCAACACATATATATTGATAGAGGAGACCTAATAGGAGGTTGTCTTGGAGATCGAGGAAGAAGGCTGGTGAAATTTTCAGTGTTGAAAATTCAGCTTCTCAATACCCCCCACCATCCCCCACTTCTATTCGATGTTCCAACATCTTGCTGTAAACAAATCTTTCTGTGACTTTGTGCTGTGCTGCAACAACAAACTCGTTGCTGGTGTTAAAGTGAGCTCATGACATCACCAGTTTCAAGGAGGATGTGGAGAAGTCAGGACCCCACCCACTGCTGGCTGGAATGCAAAATTGGGCAGCCTCTGTGTAAATCAGTCTAGCATTTCCTCCAAATGGTAAACATGGAACTACTATGTGACCTAGAGATTTCACTCATAGGTATACAAGGGGGGATCCTCCAAAAAGATAGAATTATTTTTTAGAGGGCAGGCACCTTGTAGTACTGACTTTCTCTACTAGGTAAGTGTTCTAAGAACCCATCTGCATCAGTGGACAAGCTAGCATGGTGAGAGGCTGCTTTTGGCTTCAGGAAATTTTTTTTTTGGAGAGTCTTTCAACACATTTGCCCATTTCATAATGGGTGAAATATGAGCACACCTGCTCAAACTTAACTGGCATGACCCCTATGCGCCACCCTCCCTATTCACCTGATCTTGCCCCAAGAAACTTTTTTGTTTGTTTGTTTCCCTGATGAAAAAAAGTCCTCAACAGGACTTCCACTTTTGCCTATGTGGAAGAGGCAAAACAAAAAAAATGGCAGAAATATTAAATGGCATCAAAATGTATGAGTTCACAAACAGTTCTGAGCAGTGGGAAAAGTGTCTCAATAGGCGTATTGCATCAAATAGTGATACTTTGAAGATGACAAGTTTAAATATGGCAGAATAAATACAAATTTTTTTTATAAATAAATTCTGGTGGTTTTTTTTTCTCTCCTCCTTTGTATACACAAGAGAAAATGAAGACATATGCCAGACACACAAAAAAAGTACACAAAAGATCAAAGCATCATTATTTATTTACAACAGCCAAAAAACTTAAAAAGCATAAATGTCCCTCAATTGATGAATAAAGAAAGAGTTGTATTTCTACAGTGGAATGTTATTCAGCCATAAAAAAGGAATGATGCAGGTACTGATCCATGCACTAACATGGATGAACCTTGAAAATAAGACAGGTGAAAGAAGCCAGTCACAAAAGGACAAATAAAAATAATTTCATTTATATGAAATGTTTAGACAGGTAAATCTATAGAGGTAGCAGAGGTGGTTCTTTTGTGCATAACACAAAAGACATCATTGTTATTAGATGTATTAATGAGTTGTTGTAAGATATAAATAAGAAAATGTATATTCCAGCTCAATAATGTTGTAAGATATAAATAAGAAAATGTATATTCCAGCTCAATTGTTAATCTTAATAACAGAGTGTTTAGGGGAAAACAACAGAAGCTTGTTCTAATGAGGGTTAGGGGAGGGTTAGATGAGGGTTAGGCTTGTGGTTTCCAGGGTCTGAAGAAAATGAGATTTCTTTTGAAGGTAGTGAAATTATTGTGGAATGAGATCTTGGTGGTGATTAAACGACTTTGTGAATGTACTAAAAATCACTGAATTGTGCAGTCTAAAACAGTAAATCTTATGGAATGTAAATTATATCTCAATAAAAAGGAGGTTCACGGAACAAACAGGCCCCACCTCAGGGAAATATTGGGTGAAATGCTCTTAAGCAACAGCACTTCAACTAGCCAGAGACATTTCTTAGGGTACAGAGTATTCCACAGGAAACACTTTTTTTTGTTTGTTTTTTCTTACTACTGTTCCCTTTCAAAGTTACTTATCTCTCCCAAGTTCAAGCTTGATAGAGCAATTTGGGAAAAGGAAAGTTGGGCAGGATTTGACTGTCATTCTGGTTGATTCTCCCACAGTCAGAGGAAATCACACTGTTTCTATCCCCTCTCAGAATGCACCCTCAATAGTAACTATGGGCCCAACCTTCTCATCTAGCTCCTGTAAGGCCCTATGGAGGCAGGTCTAGGGCTTAGTATTTGACCTACTTCATCAGATTTTGTGGGACTTTTTTTTCTCATTTGAGAGTCTAGAAGGAGAGGGTCTTATCACTTAAAAAGGAGTAAGCATGTAACTTTAAACCTAGAGGCTGTCTTACGTGGTGTGGGACTGCAGATCAACACACAAGTTCCTCAGCCAGATTACCTGCCTTGAAATCTTGCCTGTACAATTCGCTAGCTATGTAACCTGGGCTCTGTGCCTCAGTTCTATGGTCTCTGAAATCCCATTTGCACCTACTTTAATGAGTTGTTGTAAGATATAAATAAGAAAATGTATATTCCAGCTCAATAATGACAAACAGTTATTAATAGTAACAATTGTACCTACAGGAGCACCATGCATATGCAGAGAGTAAAGCTTCAGCAAAAATGAACTTAACAAGGGTACTCAAAGAACACCCCTCCCCACCTTTTCATTATTATTTTTTTTTTCTCTTTTACTTTTTATTTTGAAATCGTGGGGTACAATTCAGGGTTAGGTATACAAATGATCATTGTGCAGGTATCTTTCTTGATGAGGTGTGTTCCCCCTTCCCCAGGCAGATGTCGACTACTGTCAACCCAGCTACCCATCCCCTACCCACCTCCCCGGAGTTTCCCACTACTTTCAATCCCTTTCCTACAGTAATATGGTAGTTGTTCAAGATCCACTTATGAGTGAGAACATGAGCTCTTTGTTTCTGTGAGAGATCACTCAGTATTATAAACTCTAATTCCATCCACGTTGCTGTGAAGGTCATGATTTTGTTCTTCTTTATGGCTGCATAATATTCCATTGTATATACGTATCACTTTTTTTTAAAATCCAGTCCTCTTTTGATGGGCAGCATGGTTGGTTCCATGTTCTTATTGCTTTTTCATTATTTCTTACAGGCATTTGATGCTGGCACCAAGCCCATGAGTCTGAACCCAGGGTGCTAAATGGTGAGGTCACAGAGAAAGGACAGCTCAAACAACTTATTTTTTTGTTTCATTTGCGTACAAAAAATTAGAAAGCAGTCGTTCATAATGGATCCTGTTAGTTTCAATTGTTCTGATGACCAGCATGTTCATTGAGCAAGATAAATGTCTTTCTCACATTTGGGGCATGGGAGGCAACCAGGTGGATCACTGCCAAGGCAGAGTGTTTAGGGGAAAACCACAGAAGCTTGTTCTCCACATTTTGCTGAGCTACCTCCTCAGTCCCCCTTTGGATTTAGAATTAAAATTATTATTGGAATTAGAATCGGAATTGTTCTTAAAATTGGAATTTTTCTTTTGGTTGCAGTGAACAATTCGTAAGGAAATTGGTTAGGATGAACAAAACCTTTCAGAACTGAAAAATAACAAATGTGAGTTCTCTGGCTGTTTGGTGTTCAAAGTGTACCTTAAAGACAACTCAACATCCAAGGAAAGAAAGGTATTTTTATGACCAGGGGAGTATACAAAGGGAAGGAGTTGAAGGAAGTTGGAATTTTAGCCTTCCTCTCATTGGCATTCAAAAAGCATCTACATGCATTCCAAGTGAGTTGTCAAAGACTAAAGATTTGCAAATTTTCCTACAGATCAAAAGGAAAGCACAGCAGTAGAATAATCATTCCATCTTTTGTCATAAAGGTTCATGCTCATGCAGGTGAGATTTAGTTGTGAAATCTAAAGTTGATTCACTTGAAATACCAACTGCAATGAAGAGGGAGAGGCAGCAAGAGGAGAGGCATATATATGGTAACCAGGAGCTCATCATCCTTCTTCACACAGAGACACACAAGCTCCCTTCTCACCTCTGCTTATTCTAGGAGCACAGGTAAGTGCTTCCAGCGACTCCAGCTTGACATCCTGTATTATTTTTTGAGAATAATAACAATGATGTCTTTTGTGTTATGCATCGACTTTATTCTGTCTGATTGTATTTTACTTATTCTGCCAGAGCAATATTAGAATACCTCCCTTATCCGTTTTATCCTCTATCTAAATTATTGATTTCCAAGTAACCCAATGCACCCTTAGGAAAATGCAGGGAGAGTTAATGACAGCCACAGACACTTAAAGGAAAAGTCAGAGGTGCCTCTTGAGAGTTGGCTGGATGCAAGCCTCAGAAGTCTCATCTTAGAGTTCATTATAAAACATTTCCACTTTCAGTACAGTCAGTGATGAAGGAAAGATAAAGATATCCTATTATTTGTTTATAAAAGTCTCTAAAAAGAGTCATTTTGTGAGACTTCTAATTATAAGATTAATACATGCACATTGTAGAAAACTTGAACATTTAAAAATAAAAAGAACGACTCTAGTTGCCAGAATCCCAGGACCCAGATACATTGTTTTCTTTAAGAACATTTTATTACAAAGTGATGTTCCATTCAGTAACGTCATTCTGAAATGCATATGTTGTTTTCCAGGAGTTCCAGATCACACCAAGGTCACCATGAATCCACTCACTGAAGCAATCATCCAGTTCACACTTGATCTGTTGCAACAGTTCAGAAAATTAGAGAACGACAACATTTTCTTTTCCCCTTTCAGCATCTCATCTTCATTAGCGATGGTCTACTTAGGGGCCAGGGAAAACACTAAACAGCAAATTAAAGAGGTAAATATTGGCTTTATTACACTTACCTGCTATAACTTTTCTCATCTGTGGCTCTGTCGGCTAGCATGCAGAGGGCAACAGATCTCATGGCCTGATGGGTTGTACATGAGGCTGAGCAGGAATTCCTGTTCTGTGAGAACATTAATATAAAGAGAGTAAAGTCTTGAATAAAGTTTTCTTGTCCCACTTCCTGCTTCTTCCAGGTCTTGCACTTTAACGAAGTTACAGAGGACGCAACAGAAAAAGCTACAAAACAGCAAGTGAGTCACAGAACACTTCAGTTCCATAGAGCTTTAGACAGCTGAACAGATCGTAGTTTAAACTGGCAACTTCGCATAAACTGAGAAAAGGCCATTTTTAGGGGAAATTCTGGGGCAAAACAGATTGGGATATATAGACGGATTTTGCATTTTATATTACCCAATTATAATTTTCTTGTCTTTGGTTTACTGAGAGAAGATTAGCATCATAATTAAGGACATGGGTGTGGAGCTGGATAGGCTAGGTTCAATTCCAGCTCTGTTCTTTACGAATGGTGAAGGTAGCCAAGACACAACTGTTCTGAGTCACGGTGACTTCATATTAGTAAACGTGGATTAAAAAAATATGACTCAAAACATTCAAATACATGCAAACTTTTATAATAGTGCCTGACCTATAAAAAGCCATAATAAATATTATTATATAGCAACAGTAATTATGCCAATCATACTTATGTTTAATGATCCTAAGATAATTTAATTTGAATTGTCATTAACTAAATTAAGAAGAATAAGCACAAGTTGAAGTATATATTTTTAAATGATTGCAGGTAAAGTTTGGGCCTAACTTTTGTCCCCACTTTGCCTGGTTTGAACTCAGGAACTCTTATTAAGGCCCAAGCTTTACCTGTACAATGACCACTTATAAACCTAATCCTGAATTGTAATCCACATCTTTAAAATAAAATAAATTAAAAATAAATAAATAAAAACCCTCTTTCCAAAATTAATTAATCAACTAATTAATTAATTAATTGACTGCTATGAGTTATATTGGTTTGGAGACTCAATAGTGCAAAATTCTTAGCTAGAAAATAGAAGGTTGTAGATTCAGGCAGGCTTAGGTTCAAATCTTGACTGCTTGTTTATGTCCTATTGAAAAATTTTTATTATTTTCCAAGCTTTCTTGTTTTCATCTGAATTGGACTAAAGACTTAGAGTCACCCACGTGAAGCTTTTATCCTAGTACCAGGCACATACTGTTCTTACATAAAGAGAATAACCACCATGAGAGAAGAGACATAGATCACAGGTTACATGTCTTAGAAGACGATACTACCAAGGAATATAACAGGGCTTCATGTCATAACCTGTTGAAAATATCCTGTAAACCCGCGCCTTTGGGAGGCTGAGGTGAGTGGATTGTCTGAGCCCACGGGTTCAAGACCCACCTGGGCAACTTGGCAAGACCTCATCTCACAATAAATCAAAAAAATTAGCTGGGTGTGGTAGCGTGCACCTGTAATTCCGGGCTACTCAGAAGGCTGAGGCGGAAGGATCGCCGGAGCCCAGCAGGTCGAGGCTGCGGGGGCCGGGAGCAGCCACTGCACTCCAGTCTGGGCGACAGAGTGAGACTCCAACTTAAAAATTAAAAAAAAAAAATAGAAAATATCCAAACTTCAACATAATGATGCTCTTGATGGCTGTTAGAAAAGAAATACAGTTCTTGCCTTCAGGAGATTAGAGTTAGCTGGGAAGCTCAACCTAACCATTTAAGCTAACGAGGGAACAATTCAATGACAGAATGGTGCTGTGTCTTTAGCTCAAAAGAAAAAAGGATGGAGTATGTTAAGGCAGAAACAAAAAATATTTCCAAAAAAGGTCAAGGTAAGGTGGATTTTGAAGTGTATTTATGGTAAAATATACCAAGTGTCAGGGAATAAGGTCCTTTTCAAGGCTACCAACCCTTGGGTATTTATCTAAAAGACTTAGCATGGGCTTAGTATTTACATTGATATAATAATTCAATGAGTTCCTTTTATTATGTTTGAAGGTTGATAAGTCAGAAAATGTGCATCACCAGTTCCAAAAGCTTCTGACTATGTTAAACAAACCCACTGATGACTATGAGCTGAAGATTGCCAATAAGATCTATGAAGAAAAGACATATCAATTTCTTCAGGTAAATTTAACCTGAACTAACACATCTTTAATGTACATCCTATGTTTCTATGTCTCTGAATGGTTAAGTAGGTGAGCCTGACTGACTCAAGTGGGGAGCATTTACTCAGGGTGCGACAGCTCCATTACTACAATTCTACCCTGCCAGAATATCCCAGAGCCTGACTATACACAAGTAAAGTGTGACTTTGGGAATAATCTTACATTAAAAGAGACAATTGGACAGTAAAGTTAGTAATAAGATGCCATTATGCACTAGCATTGACTCAGACACATAGAGCACATTTTGGTGAAGAATATACAGTGAATAGGATATTACTGGCATGGGTAGACTTAGGTACGTCCCTGGTGATAGTTGGGAAAGTACCAGGGAATATTGAATGTCCAAGATGGAAGATAGAAACAAAGGTGAGAGACATCATGGTTGAAATGATTAACAAGAAGTCTCAGAAGCAATTCATCTCCTTCAAGGTAACTTGCTTTGCAGTTGGGAAACCACACCTCTCCTGCCCCTGCCTTATGCCAGATGATATTGACCTTCAGTGAACTCCTTCTTGTGTCAGCTGGCACTTCCTTGTCATGTTGCCTACATGGTACTTGTATAAAAATATACATGGTCAGGAGAGAGTGAATTTGTTCAGGGTCTGGATTCAGCTTACTATAATTAAAAGCAAATAAATTTGGTAATACATAGTTACTGATAAATTGCTTTTAATTCTTCCTTTCTTCCTTTACATCTCAAAGGAATATTTAGATGATATTAAGAAATTTTACCTGACCAGTATGGAATCTCTTGATTTCATAAATGCTGAAGAGGAAAGTCGAAAGAAGATTAATTCCTGGGTGGAAAGTCAAACAAATGGTAGGAGGGCCACCCATATTAGAAACATTTCTGAGAAACCTATGCCAGTGAGCCTTGGGCATGACACTGCGGTGGGGGGTGCGCTCTGGTGATGGGCGTGAGATGGGTTTGCAGCGAGGATGGAAGAGGGCAATGCAGATGATTAAGTGGTCCAAAGAAATGTGAAAGCAACCAACAGGAACCAGGAAGGGGATCACAGGAAGTCAATTACATGGAAACACAGCTGGAAAATAGTTTGTACATGGCCCAGAATGACAATATCATTGTGCTGTCCAAGTCTCCATTCAGGTGCATTTTGAGATCACAACTTTTTCAGAGTCAGCTTTTTTATTATGGATCTTCAAGAGAAAACATTGGAAATCACGTCTTTCTCCTTTGTTAATTGAGAAACAAGCATCTCTTCCATAAACCACCCTTTTTGCCACTTGAGCTAGAGCTGCCTGGTCATACCAGCATCCACACATTCTTCAAGGATGATTACAGCTATCTTCCCCACCCATGGCAGAGAGATTAACAACGTCTTCATTCAACAGACGTCTGTCCCACTTCTCACTATAAGCCAAATATATAGCAATTCAACATGAGAATAAATAGAAACACACCCCAGGAAGTAGCGTCTGAAAGCACAGAGCATGTGATTCAGATGATAGAGTTCATATCACTTGTCCTAAAAGCAATCCTGTCCTACTTCCTCTGAGTAGTGAGCCCAAAGTTGAAAATATGAAAGAGAAATGAGGAGTTAGAAAAGAAAGTGATATACTGAAAGAGTAGAAAAAGATCAGTTTATCAACATTCAGTGTGAAATAAATAAAGTCACCCCTAGATAGAGAATCTGAACTCTTTTTCCATCACAAGAAGTAGTGTCTCCATCAGGGATAACACTTATCAGACTGCAGCTTTGAGGAAAGCTGTGTCTGGTGACACAGCTGGTCAGTGAGTCCCTAAATTAGAGACTTGGGTGAATAATTAATGATTAATCATAAACTATTACAAACATCTTCCAGACAAATAACTTGTACCTTGTGTGACAGACCCTTTTTTATTCATTCTCTTGCAGGAAAAATCAAAGACCTGTTTCCTAATGATTCTCTTAAGGATGTCGTACTGGTTCTTGTGAATGCAGTCTATTTCAAAGGGCAATGGGAGGAGAAATTTCATAAAGAACATACTAATGAGGAAAAATTTTGGGTGAACAAGGTATTGTCGATATTTTATTCATATAATGGAATGCAGTTATATGTAGAATGTTAGATTTAAACACATCTGATGGAACATCATGGCAAGTAAAAAATAAAATTATTTATGGCTATTATTTTGCTGTTCTATTATTTTGACATTAGTTAGGAATACTTGACAAAACTTTTATCTCTATTTCACAAAATTCCTGGGTTATTTCTTAGAAGAAGGATGTGTAGGATATCTCAATTTTTTGTGTCTTATTTATCACTTGGTACTTTTTTGACCCATTACTTGTTGCAGGATTCGTGTAAATCTGTACAGATGATGAAACAAAACGGGTCTTTTAATTTTGCCTCGCTAGAAGATGTGCAGGCAAAGATCCTGGAAATACCATATAAAGGCAAAGATCTAAGCATGATTGTGCTGCTGCCAAATGAAATAGATGGTTTGCAGAAGGTAAAGCCTTGCATCTACAATTCTTCCTTCTATTACCCAATATTTCCCTATGTATCAAGTCTAAGCAAAGCAAGACCAAGGTGCCTCCAAACAATGAAAAATTCAAAATGACAATGATTCACCTTTGTATTACAAATATTTTAGCATAGAGCCTGACACATAGTGAAGGCTAGATTATTCATGAATCAGAGTTACATACATGAGATCAATCTGATAGTATCATTATGCAACAATTTAAACTTGATTAAGAGAAATATATGGCAATGTGGAGAAAGTTTACAAATACATCAAACAAGAAAAGTAATAAAAATAGGATATACACTGTAATTTCATTGTATCGTGAATAATGTATACAGAAAAATAAGAAAATTCTATTTAAAATTGACATGTAGTAGGCTGCTGTCATAAGGAATAGTGTCATATAGTTCATTTTGTCCAAAATAATGTAATGCAATGATTCTGTTTATACATACATACATCCACAAATGTACATACATACATAATCAAGCATACTTGTATGTTTAAGACTATTATTTTGCTTATTTGAATAATATCTAATGAACTGAACCATCTGTATTTACAATTATTGCAAAAATAGTGATTTTCCACGTATGAAATTCATTGAAAGTAGGTTAGAGATCTATAGTTAATAATGTCAGTTTTTTTTTCAATTTTTTATAGCTTGAAGATGAACTCACTGCTGAAAAACTGATACATTGGATGAGCCCACAGAATATGAGCGAGAGACATGTGAATTTATACTTACCTCGCTTCAAAGTGGAAGAGAGCTATGATCTCAAGGACACATTGAAAGCCATGGGTATGGTGGACGCCTTCAGTCCACCGGACGCTGACCTCTCGGGCATGAATGGGAGGCATGATCTTGTGGTGTCTAAAGTTCTACACAAGTCGTTTGTGGAAGTCACTGAGGAGGGAGCGGAAGCTGCAGCTGCCACAGGTGTAACACTAACTCCATTATCTATGGCAGTTCCTCAGAAGTTTCAATGTGATCATCCTTTCCTCTTTTTCATCAAGCAAAATAAGATGAACAGCATCCTCTTCTTTGGCAGAATCTCTTCTCCTTAGATGCAATTAGCCTGTCACTAGTTTTAGAAAAAGTTCAGAGTTGTTCCAATAAACCGATTGTTGGAAACAACAGATTCTCTTGATTCATTTTGCTTTCAATCTTATAATCATCACCAAGAACTTAATGGTTGAAATAGCATGTCTATCTCTCTTTTTCTTTATATATACTTTTTCTCTCACAAATTATTTTTGGGACAAAATATCTAACTTCAAATAAGATAAAAGGATATTTCAATGCTGTACCTTCTAAATTTGAACTATCATTTTGTTTGTGACCTGTCTTAAATGAACCAAATCAAATTATACTTTATTTTCAAACTTATTAATCTAGACACACGCTTTTTGTCTTTAGATTATCTGTGATCATTCTTACATTTCTAAATATTGTGATTCTATAAAATACATTATCAATAAAATAATGACTTAAAATAATTTTGCTTTACCTTTTTTTATTTCACAAAGAGTAGGTGACCAAAAGTAGGAACAGTAAGTAAGGCATGATACAGGAGATAGGACACATAGGACACATAAGTTATTATGTGTTATATAAAATGGAGCATGATGAGTCTGGAATGCTAGGCACATACCAGAACGTGAAGGACCTTGTAAACCACAATAAGAAATTTTTGTTTTATCCTAAACGGAATGGGAAGCTCATTACAAGCTCTGATTGTTTATTTTTCAAAGATTGGAATAAAATTACCATATCTTCATCTTGAAAATTCATCGCTGAATACTCTGATATAAGTGGATAAAAGAAAAGAACAATGTGGTTACATGACATAAATTAAGAAACTATTTGAGTGTTGGGATTGGAGATGGAGAGAAAGAGATAATCTGTGAGAGTAATTTAGTAAGTAAAAGCCACAGAATTTTGGCAACAGATTAGATATTAGAAAGAGAAGAGTAGAAGCCAAGAAAGACACCTAAGTTTTAGACCTAGCCAACTATTTGGATAGAAGGAGATTTTGTTTTGAAAAGAAGAGAAGATTATGGGTTTAAATTTGTACTTTGAATTTGAATTTGAATATGAGGCTCTTTTAAGATCCAAGTGAATTTAAATTGAAGTTCTTTTAAGACCCCAGTGAATTTTTCTGATAGACACTTGAAAATATTGATCTAGACTCAGAGATAGGATATGATCTGAGGCTCTAAATTTATGATACTTCATATAAAAACTTTAGAGTTACTGATTTGAATACAGAAATTGCTGCTCAAGGCAAAGATGAGATCCTATTGAAAAAATATAAAGTCAGAAGAAAGAAGTGTCTTGAGATACACCAATATGCAAAGGTTAGAAATCAACAGTTTTTATTTTCTAGATGGTATCTTTTCTTTGGGATTCTATTTTTTTTTTTTTCAGATTCTTTTTAGTCAGCATTGAATTCCCGCTGGTTCTTTAAAAAAAACTAAACATCAATTTTAGAGGATTTAAAACAGGTTGATATTTTCTTCAGCAGGCTTCAGCAATCCAAGAATAAAGCAGAGGAAACGGTTATTTCACCACTTGAGTACGCTACTTGGTAAAGTTGTCAAGGGAACTAGCAAGGGAGTAGGTAACATGAATAATCTCCACAGTGAATTGGGCCGGGAACAGTAAAGTAAGGCATAATGCAGGAGTCATGAAGAAAAGATGTGCATTACAATATTTAATCAGGCCAAAGAAGGACGGTAATGAGCATATGAGAAATATGAAGGGATCAAAAGTTTAGTCCAGGATCTGGGATTTTGAAGTGAAGTTTACAATGGAAAATATGAAGTAGTAATAAAGCTCAAATTTGGCAAATAGGTGAGAATTAATTTATAATGATTCAACGAAGTTGAAAATGACATAGTTTTGAAGGTTTTGAAGAATTAAGTGTTAGAATCAATTTAGCCCATAGCTTTAAATTACTATTAATTTTGTTGGGTTTAAAAAAGGAATCTACAGTAGCCCTAAATTTTTTTAAAGTTAAAACAAAGACTCAAGCATTAGAGTCTTATAGAGTAGGTTGCATAGTTTATATTTTGCTACGAAAGGGAAAATCTTTGCATCTTTTGTAGGTTAGCCAGAAAATGAACTATACTTGCCTTGTGGTCATCTGTAATATAAACTGAAGGGAAAGTCAAATCTTGCTTTTTTTTTTCTTTTTTGAGTTGAGGCCACACTCTGTTACCTAAGCTGCGTGCAGTGGCACAATCAGGGCTCACTAAAGCCTCAACCTCCTGAACTCAGGTGATACTTTCACCTCATTTGCTGGGATTATTGGCATGAACCACCATGCCCCTTAAATTATTTATTTGTTTGTTTGTTTGTTTTGTAGAGACGAGGTCTCATTATGTTGCCGAGACTGGACTCGAACCTCTGGGCTCAAGTAATCCTCTTGTCTCAGTCCCCCTAAGTGCTGGGATTCGAGGGGTAAGCCACCGTGCCTGGCCATTGTGTTTTGATTTTTAAAGTAATAGATTAATATCTATTGAATAAAACAGAATACAAGCCTATACTAATATAAAATAGATAAATGACTAAATTAAAATTTGATAAGGAATTCAGTGTTTAAGTGCTTTCAAGCTCCTCTCCAAAGAATACTTTCTCGTACTTATGAGAGTATCCAAAATTTTAATTTAAAAGACTGGCTATAGCAAATTTTGAAGACAGTGTGAAGTAATTAGAACTCTTGTATACTGCCTGTGGAAATGCAAGAGGTGCAACTACATGGGAAACGGTTTTTTGTTTGTTTGTTTGGTTGGTTTTTTTTTTGAGTTGGAGTCTCACTCTGTCGCCCAGACTGGGGTGCAGTGGCCGCTTCTGGCCACCACAGCCTCGTCCTGCTGGCTGCGGCGATCCTTCCACCTCAGCCTTCCGAGTAGCCAGAATTACAGGCGCGCGCTACCATGCCCAGCTAATTTTTTGATTTATTGTAGAGATGAGGTCTCGCCTGCCCAGGTGGGTCTCGAACTCGGGGACTCAGACAATCCACTGACCTCAGCCTCCCAAAGGATCGGGATTACAGGCTGAGCCACCAAGCCTGGCGGGAAACAGTTTTAAGTTGTTGAACTACATACTTATAATATGTGAATTTGATTTATGTAAATTGTGCCTTTGTAAAATTGACAGAAAATGGAAAAGAAGTGTTTAAATCCCACATGCGACGAGGCACCTTCTTAAAAATTAGATTATATTTTGCCCCTTGTAGTACACTTAGAATTTGTTCCCCTGGATCAAACAACCAAAGTTTTTATCTGATTGTTTTGAAAAAGTTGCATCATGAGTTGAAGAAACATCCAAGTTATGGCAAACAGGTGTCTGGTTCTTCCACCATGACAACACACCTGCCCACACTGCTCTGAGTGTGGAGCAGTTTTTGACCAAAAACATCATGATCCCCATACCCTACCCTTCCTATTCACCCAGTCTCATCCCAGACCACTTTGTTGTTTGTTTCTTTGTTTCTCCGGGTGAAAAATCTTCCCAAAGGGAATTCCACTTTTGCTGATGTGAACAAGGTGCAAAAAAACAAAACAAAACAAAAAAACAGCAGAAGCACTAAAAGGCACCGAAATTGAGGAGTTCAAAAATTGTTTTTGAGCAGTGGAAAAAGTATCTCAAAAGGCGTAGTGCATCAAACGAAGAGTGCTTTGAAGGTGACTGGATCTTAAACATTTAAGAATAAATACACAATTTTTTTTTTTTTAGTTGGAGTCTTACTCTGTCACCCAGGCTCTAATGTATGTAACTCTGATTAGTGAATAATGAATAATCCAGCCTTCACTATGTGTCAGGCTGTTTGCTGGGCTCAGGTGATCCTTTCGCCTCAGCTTCTCAAGTAGCTGGAACCACAGGCATGCACCATAACATCTGGATAATTTTCTGATTTATTGTAGAGACGAGGTCTTGCCAAGTTGCCCAGGCTGATCTCAAACCCATGAGCCAGGCATTCCCCTCACCTCAGCCTCCCAATTGCTGGGATTATAGGCGTGAGGCACTGCACCTGGCCTAATACACAAATTTTTATTAATAAATTTCAGTTGTTTTGATACCCTTTGTATTTATGGGGAAAAAAAATACTCTGTCATTAAATATAGTTTTAAAATTTTATTTTTTAATTGACAAAAAACTGTACATATTTATCTTGTACAAAATGTCTTATAATATGCACACATTGTAAAATGACTAAATAGAACTGACTAATATACACATTACCTCGCCTACTTTTTTTGTGGTGAGAACAAAGTCTTCTTTCTTAGCAATTTTCAAAAACAGTTATACAATAGAATTCTCTGACTTATTCTATTTAACTGAACTTTATATCCTTTGACCAACATTTCCCCAACACCCACCCACACTCTGGCACTTGGGCACCACCATTATACTATTTTTAAGCATTTAGCTTTCTTAGATTGCATATATAAATGAGATCAGGCCGGGCTCGGTGGCTCAGCCTGTAATCCCGCGCCTTGGAAGGCTGAGGTGAGTGAATTGCCTGAGCCTGCGGGTTTGAGATTCGCCTGGGCAACTTGGCGAGACCTGGTCTCTACAATAAATCAAAACTTAGCCATGCTTGGTAGCGCACGCCCCTAGCTCCAGCTACTTGGGAAAGGTTGAGGCGGAAGGAGCACCGGAGCCCAGCAGGTCGAGGCTGCGGTGACCGGGAACTGACACTGCATTCCAGTCTGGGTGACAGAATGTGACTCCAACTCAAAAATAAACAAACAAACAAACAAATAAATATATAAATAAGATCATGTAGTATTTGTCTTTCTGTCTATGGCTTATTTTACTCAGTATAATATCCTCCAGGTCATAAATGACAGGATTTCTTCTTTTTTTTAGGCTGAATAAAATTACATATACATATATATTACATTTTCATGATCTATTCATTCAATGTTGGACACGGGTTGATTCCATATCTTGGCTACTGTGAATAATGTCAAAATAAACATGGGAATGCCGATACCTATTCAATATACTAATTTCATTTCCTTTGGATATATACCCACAAATGGCATTGTAAAAT